ATAATTCCACTTTCGTCTTGTTAGTAATCTTCAATTGACTACCTATGTTTTAAGGGTTACTAACTTTCAATGTAGAAGAAGCGAAAAAAAGACCTTGGAACACCCCCCCCCCCCGAAATAAGAGATATATATATTAAGTATTTGAAGGAAATAGACGTTGAAACATGGAAGTGTGTTATAGCTTTTTATTCACCTCCTGAATAATTTTTTAACCTTTGACTTGGAAATATGGCAAATTCAACTTGCAAGGAATATCTTAATATTTCAACAAAATATTCTCATATTTGAATGACATAAATAGACCTATCTATTTATTAAACAAGCAGACCCGTGGATTCTTTTAAATGCATATGGAAGAAGAATGAGAGTCGCACGGAAGAACAAATCTGCAGAACTGTAGTGTTATGGTTTTATGTTTTAATCCTTGATTTTCAAGACCAATAAAACCATAACGCTACATACAGTTCTGCAGCTAGGAAGAACAGTCTATTTCTTGGTGTGTGGGAGACCTTTCCTCAAATATTCCATGGATTTGCCAGAGTTCAACCTTACGGTTAGCTGCAGAACTGTAGCTCTAAAAAAAAAATATATATTGACAAACGGGCGAGCTGCAGTGCCACCAATTGGAATAAAAGTGTGTTTATTGTGCATAAAAAATGCACTGTTTCTCGGTTTCAAACTGTCATATTCTCAAACTATTTCTAATTGGATGTTCCAAATACAAGTAAATTCCTAAATACAATATCCACTTACTATTTCCACAACTGTTGTAAATAGCCCTCCTTGACATGAAATTGAGACCATCGCATTTCGCATTTTTACTTCCATTTTTAAAGAAAAATCATTTCAATTGCAACGCGATTCGTGAACAAGTCAACTACAAGAATTGTTGCTAGAGGTCTTGGGATTATGTTTTTTAGCTTTTGTGCAGTTGAGATAAGAATCTGGAGAAATTAATTTAGCACCAAGCACAGCTTTTGTGCGTAATAATTTTTTTAAACAAATTTTTGTATGAGTGGCATTTTGGTCGTCTATCTCATTTTTTTCAGACCAGCGAGTTACAGGAAGGCAGCTACTTTACGATTACTAAAAAAAGGGGGGCAAGCATATCTGCATAAAAAAAATCATGAACATGAATTAAAAGAAAATCAAAAGACTATTTTCAGAAAAAAGTACACCTCAACTTGCATACAACGGACCTGAGATGTTACTGGATAAATTTAGACTACATGCAACTCAACTCTAAAGATACTCACATCGTGTTTTGAATAAACACATACTGCAAGGAAAATATTTCCATTAAAAAAGCTTGTTCGCTTGATCACAACATTTGTATATGAATACCTGGTGCAGTTTTGGATTATGTGGTGTCATCGTCTTACTCATTCACACCATATCACTCTATTTAAAAGTAACAAAATAATTTAACCAAAAACACAATATCCGTAAAAAGAATTGATGGAACACTATGTATTGATTCAATCAATAGTCAAAAATTACTATAAACTATAAAACAATTATTCTTTTCTTGTAAATTTGAATAATTTCATATTATTCACGTTAAGTAACATAAACCAACAGTCTTAGAGACGTAAACCAGTTGTCGCATTTACACAAATCAAAAGTCGCCTGTGCCAAAATTTAACAGAAACCAGTTGTAGCACCTATAAAATGAATTTGCTAGTTATTGACAAATCCCATGGAAATAATTCATTTAAAGCACATTGTTTGTGTCCATGGCATAGAAAAACGTTGGATTAAAGTTAAATTTATCAACTTAACTGTCCAATTAGTCCTGTAGTACTTTATGTATTTTGCAAATGCGAGTACGTGAAAAACACGATGTAAACAGTCATTTACAAGTAATATTTCGATATGAGCCCTTTTCGGGTATAAAAGCAAATTGATCCAATCGCTTAACTATTTAATGAATTTGCTTTCTAGAAAGTGATTTTTATTGTGTTTTAAAAAAAAATATGTATTAAACTAGATAATTTACAGGTGCCAAGCCCGACAACAGACTTTACCAGCAAAATTATATATATATTTTTTTCTTTATTGTTTTAACCACGTTTATTTTGAGAAATCGACATGCAAAAAAAGAGGTATAATATTCTCAATTTATTAATTTCCAAAATATTTGAAAATTTCTAGTAGATATGTAGCTATAAAAGTGAAAAAAATTTAATCAAAGATGTTTATCTGAGTTGTTGAATTTTTTTTCTCCTTATGTTGTCTATGTTGAACATTGAATGTAATTCAACGAAATTTTATCATGTTAATTAATGGTTTTAAATAACCTTATTATTCCTCATTTTTAAATATTAAGTTTGTTATTTTGCCTTCATTTTATCCATTCTCCCTAAGTTCAAGTTCCCAATAAAGCAGTGGTTTGTGTACTCATTTAGTATTCACCGTGTGTTCGGACATACATGTATTGCATGACACAAATCCTCAGAAAAGATACAATTTACGAGATATATAGCATTAATTGTTATCAGATGATAAAACCCTTTACAGTTACATGTACTTCCGACAAGAAATCAAGAAGAATCTTTCTATATACTGACCCTTGCCTTGTGACTCTTTGGGGAATTTTTTGTTCAGCATCTTAATTACTAGTAAGATTTGTGAACTTGAAGCGCTTTCTTATCTTTACCAATGAACTTATTAAAAATTATAAAGTAGCCACAAATGGATTTTTACTATGTGTTTCTTTTTGAAATTTTGTATATTACTTATCCAAGCCCTCAGTCACACGCTTAAAAAACAATTATTAAGTATTATATGTTTAACCCATTCAATCATAATGGTTTAAGTGGAAAGAATTTTTAATGACGAGTAAATTATTTTAAACGTAATACCTGAAAAATAAGCCCGACAACAGATTTGCAAAATTATATATATATAAATAAAGAACTTTGGAACAAAGTTACTTATATCTATTGTCATGGTTTTTTTTTTGAATGACTGGTTTCTAAGAAAAAAGGGAATATCTTGCTTTTCGTTAATTCTAAAACCAAAAATACCACACAGGAACTTAACTCGTAAAACTTTTATATCAAAACTCATAAAGATTTAAAGTATTTCTATGTGTTCTTGAAATTTTGTATCCACAAAACTAAGTGAAATACTCGTGAAATAAAGAAATATTATAATGGACTTCTGCTTTACAAAAAATGTCTCCAAATCGATGGTGTATTTAATTCAAATCAATGATGGGGGAACAAATCCAGTACTTCTAGGGTGTTCCCTCTGAAAAATGGCTTTTAAAAAAACGAAATCATAAACCATCGATTGTAAACGAGCTACACCTCATTACACGAACTGATTTAATTGCTACTGGAAATTTGTTAATTAATAATGTATCAGCTGGCTCACATGGTAGTCGTAACAGAAGACACCGTGTAAATGATTCATCATTCCGATGAGATTTTAAGATAGATCTACCCAGTTTTGAGGTATTTATGAACTTCCAGTAGGTAAGTGTTTTATTGCATTTATATTTTTATTTCAGAGGTACATTACTTACTGCTACATTTCTAAAATAGTCAAAAACGTTACAAAAAGTATACATTACAGCTACACTTATAATCTTACATCCGACGTGAGCATAATGTCATCAATTGAAAAAAAAATCTCGTTTAGTATGATTTTCTTCTTGTTAGTAACAAATAAAAAAGAAAACTTGAATTCTCTCTTTTATAGCAATATGAGCTGCAAGTTTGACATGGGAAAATTTTGTCGCAAATTTGTTATCAACTATTTCAATAATAAAAAAAAATAGAACATTTATATACTTCTGTTGATCATATTTGAGATGGAAGAACTTTCTATAAGCTTTAGTTGAAGCAAAATGACATCATTGTCGTCCTTTACATTATTGGTTTCTTACATTGTATATAATGCTGTATGTTCGATTGTACAGAAATATAAATGTCTCTTCGGAAACAATTTGAATTTTCATTTTAGTTTTAATTTTCATAAGGGTTTAAATTGCATACAAATTAATCATAATAACACATTTAAACAGAAAAATAATTTTCTCAAATATGGATCTCATATTGCTTTTATTAAGAACATTTGTGTTTAGCATTATTTGTAATGCGTACAAAATATATGGATGTTCTCTGTTTGTCTAAAGCTATAACACGTGTTCTTGTAACATTTGGTAAATAATACATTCATTTGAATTAAAATCCAAGGTATAATCACCAAACTTCGATTGTAATATAAATCTCCTATAGACAAAATATTGTTGTTTTGCGATACTGACAGTGTATTTACTTTCTGTTCGATTCTTATCTTTATCTAAGGGATAGGGGGAATTCAATGACCCACGACAACAAACAACAATAGCATCAACAAAAGTGTCCGAAAGTGTCTGAAAAACAAAAATACATAAGTAAACTGGAAATTGAAAAAAAATCAAAAAACTTAGTCAACTAGTATTGGGTGTAGGGGAGGAGTCCCATCAACAGAAATCATATACAATTATGTAAAATTATTCCGCAATTAGGAGGGGAGTATTTTCTGTGAAAATAACATGCCAAACAGCAATACCATCTAGAAAAAAAGGATGCCCTTTTTGGCTTCCTAATATTTCTGCCTCCAAAATTCAACTGTCTTAAGTTTGCATGAATACTAGTAGGCGTCTTTCTTACTGTAGAAGTTATATCTGTTTTGTCAAAACTACAAGTTGGAAAATCAATTACTAGTATACAGTTCATTGAAATACTAGTATTTGAAAAGCTTTTGAAAATAAGGTTCTGTCACAAAACAGTTTCTGGGACCATTTTCTTAAGTCTATTTTTTAAAAATAAAAACATTGCCAATGTAACTAGTCTCTGATGGAGATTAAAAAAGACTCCATATTTGCTAAAAATATAGCCATTTTCAATGTCGATTTGGATTCGCTACATATCATTCTTACAAACATTTTTTAGTTCACGATTTCAACTTTTAAAAAATTCTTTTGAAATAAGTCATGCCAAGGCCCCCGTCATAATGACCTTTCACATTGACCCTCAATAGTCGTTCCACCGTTAATTTTTGTTTTATTAGATATTTGTTATTTATTTTACTTTATAAGAGACAGTGGTCGATGACTTCTCCCAAGGTAAGGATTTTAAATATTTTGCCACTTGTTTGAAGAATTGTTAATGATATCATTCAGAAAATCAAACTACTGGGATTAAAAGACTTTTAATACGGGCTAATCTCACCCAAAAACAACAAACTGACCATGATTTGACGACATTATCAAAATCTGATTATCAAATGACTGGACTTAGAATGGCTACTGCAACAGAAGCCTAAATAGAAGCACTAATTTTTGACACAATCTAGACATGGCATAATATAGTATAGAAGGGGATTACTTGAACGTAACAGTAAGTGGTGCGGGATAACATCTCATCATTTTTCCATTTATCTGTTGACAGTCTATTATATCAATGCTAGAAATATAGGTACGAAGCTATATGGTGCGCTTAACTAAAATTGACCTTGTAAAATTTTCATTTTCACCTAAATCTTAAAGAGATTTTTTTTTGCTTCTTTGTAGCGAAAATACTTCAATTTTTTCTGTATGGTGTATGATGAAAAACTTAAATTATTACTGAATAGTGTAAATCTTTAATACTAGGGTTGTCAACCTTTATTTAGTAACCGGTTACTCGTCTCTCTGTGGTATTGAGCACTCGGTCATTACTTATTAATTAGAAAAAGATCAAAATTTAACCTTACTTATCTCTTTAATATCGTTTATTGTTCTATGCCAATAAATATAATTTCACGATTTATTGTCGAATTAATTAAGGTTTGAAGTGAAAAGAATTTCATCAAAATAAATATGAAATTATGGTTCAATTTTCTCCCCTTCTGTTGGAATGTAAAAGGGATACTTTATTTTCCCTAATGGTTTCTCCAATTCCTTTGATTAATTTACCATATTTTATTTCAGGGTATCCAGTTTCTGATAGGTATCTCATTGTCTGAAAATGACAACAAAGATATCTAAGCCGAATTCCCGTTGGCAGCAGGGGAACTCACAATGGAGCTCGTCTATCTCCAAATCTGATGGAGATTTGCATAAAACAGCAAAACGGAATGTCCCAGACTGGCAAAAGCGACGCCCTTTGACACAAACATTGGACAAAAATAGCTATCAAGAATTACCAATTACAGACGAAAGTCTCTCAGACATAACGATGTGTTCTTATCAACCGAGGACGAATACCCCACTGGATTTCTACTCCGTGTACGAGTCGGAAAGTGAAGTGAAGAAAGCCAGACGTATAGCAAGTGGACACCATCGATCTGTGACCCCCTCTAGATCTGGGAGTGCCTTGTCCAGAAGAAAGGATGTCGATTTATCAACTGGGGGAAGACAGGAGACATATTACAATCAAATGAAGAAAGTTTATGACGTCGACAACATAAGAAAAAGGCGTCAAAATGAGTTTTCACAAACGTATGTGTCATTCAGGACGAGCTATACTCAGGAAAAACTCAAACAGCAACGTGAAATAGAAAGGAATAGAATAGACAACGAGAACAAGATTCTTAAAGACCTGAAAAGAAAAAGAACTGAGTTTCAAAGAGAAAAGGAATGGCGAGTTCGCAGTCAGTACGTTACTTGGAAACTTTTGGAACATGAGCGAATGGATCGGGAATTGTATGGTCTTCCACTGAATGTTCAAGCAGATTTTTACCTCAAGACTCGCAAACCAAGAAAATCAAAGCCGATGAAAGATATCGTCCGTAACGAGACTCCAAGTTACAGACGAGCATCTGAAGGACATATAAAGCGTATGTTTGGGTCAAATGTCACGTATCCCACAATCGATCCGAAGTTAAAGCCTCCAGCTTTTGGACGGAAAAACAGTAGTCTACAGAAAGGTTTCAATTTCTAGATAAATATTGACTTTTATCTTTTTTAAAATTATTTATTGTTATCTGGTTGTTTCAATACCTACGCCAACAAAGATTAGGGTTTGTTTCATCTCAAAACGAATAATCATCATGATGCATGTGCTAAGTCCGACTTTTTATAACCCCCATTAATCTTCTTTGAAAAGTCGATGGTATGTGGATTGTGTTCATTGGCCTGGGAAAGTGGAAGCTTGAAATTATTTGAGCATATTGAAAGGGATTATAGATCATTGACAATATGAGAATTCTTTCTGTCTTTACTCCATGAATATTGAATGCCATAATGACATGACAAGAAACAATCATAATATAACCTTTTAATTCCAATTTTAAAAAGTTTGTACTGAAAAATACTCTTTCTTTCAGATTTTGACTTGGAAAAAATCTGCGAAAATCGCTTGAGGGACCTTGATTGGTCAAAGAAGAAATCTCTGAAAACCCAATCAAATGGAAACCAACGTTTCCTTTCTGGCGAAAATCGGGTTCTTCCTGTTGGTATGCATCGCCAAACACGAGGAAGGCAACAAAACTCACGTAGTGTCGGTGTTCTGAGGGAAAGCAGAACTAGAGTTCATTAATGGAAAGTCAAATTTAATTTAGATTTTATTTGAATTTATGATATTTTTGAAGAATGAAATCGACGTGTAAAACTAACTTATTTTACATAATATTTATAAGCTCATTCTATAGCAGGTTTCCTTCTCCGACTGTGTTATATTGTTAAGTTATGGAGGAAGTTGTGTTCGATATACTGATTATCATGCCAAAAGTATTCCCTGAAAATTACCAGTGTATAGCGAAAAAATGTAAATGGCCAGTTAAAAACCTGTGAGCTTCATAATTCTTCCTTCTTTGTGATTTTTCCTCTAGATTTAAAAGATGCAATGATCCGTTCTGGGATTTTTTAAACTATATTTTTTTCTAGATACATCACTGAAAAGCTGATAGCATGGTAATTATAAACGGTAATGTACGCCATTTTCCGTTACACATTTGGCATGCACGACATTGAAACCGACGACAAATGTTTCCCTCAGACTTGCATACTAATTTTAATCACCATCACTTATCTATAAGTTCAGTTTTCAAAAAAAAAATCAGTCATGTGATGTGACATAACATATAATTATACTCTTCCGTGACACTTCTTCAAATTTCGGTCTCTTTATAATTCAAATATCGCAACTTCTTCCACATCATTTAAACAAACATATATGAACTATGAGATGATATTAAGCAGATAGATGTCCCGTTTGTGGGTTCTTATGTTTTCTAGAAGTCATTAAAAAAAATGTATCAATAAACAGTATAATTTCAAACATTTAAAAGCTTTCTTATATCTTTAACTAATTTTAATACAAGAATATGAATAAATTCTCAAAAAGATTGATCATCTTTCAGCCAGTTGATTTATAATATTTGATGGAGCTTAACAAGCAAAATAATGATGAATTCGACACTCATGTTCTACATGTCACTGCGGCATTACATTGTGTGGTTTCTAGATGTCACTGCGGCATTACATTGTGTGGTTTCTAGATGTCACTGCGGCATTACATTGTGTGGTTTCTAGATGGTATAGAAAGGTTTTTTTTAAGTTGTAAGAACTTGCAACCAATTCCTTTGTATAAATTATACAATAAAATATGTTCAAAACAAAACATTGTGTGGGTGGCATTACATTGTGGGTTCTAGATGTCACTGTGGCATTACATTTTGTGAGTTTGTTTTATTTCGTGGCTTCCTTTGTCCAGCCATGGGTTATACAGTCATCCCAGTCTGGCCAGAGTGCTTCCTTCATTCGATCACAATATTCACACAAATTCGGGTACTCTGTAAAGCAAGAGAGTCTGGATTTATTTTATTTTGTATATGTTTAAAATATATATATTTAAAAATTCTGAAGAACGTTAAAGAAGGGAGAGTGATCTTCATTAAGCATCATTGTGATTATTAATAACTTTTTCTTCCTCATCCTTATTATTGTGAGATCGAGTAACATTTCGTGAATTAGTCATAATAAACTTTGATACTAGAAAATAGACTGTATTAAATAAATTTCAGAGGAATAAATCTTTTACTCTTGATGGCTTTCTCCCCATAACCCCCAAAGCCATGGTAATACATCTGTGCCAACATTCCGAACACAGCACTGTCTGCTTGGCAAGCTTTCTCCCCCAATAAAAAATTCTTTTTTCCTGTCGAAGGGAAAAACAATCTCCGAAGTAAAACCCTTCGGTTTTTGTACAACTACATGTAGTATGTATAAAATAATATACTCTAATAAAGATACTTTGTATTTGTAATATTAAGTATACATATACATATTCAATATTATATCCTCAATGTTCAAAAAACATTTTTGCACTTGTGTAGAAAGGGTCCTCAAACCTGATTTTTATTTTGTATACTTGATATGTCAATGATATGCATTGACATTCATATTTTTTAAAAATCTATCTTCTGATCATTAAGTATTTTATTTCCATTGAAAGATTTTCTAAGTCCATATTTCAAACTTCATCCAAAAAAATCCTGAAATAGATTTTTATGAGTTCTCAGTCAATAAATACGATTTGATCCTACAAAACTTGAAACTTAGCTTGATATTCACTTGGAGAGAACTAATGAACATTGATTTAAATTCAAATACATAATGATATTAACATGATTCCTTTTTTCAGATAATACCTAGAAACTTTGACAGGGCCTTTAAATCCTCATCCATTACATGGTGAACTTCTTCCTTTGTGTGTCTGCCCACTCCCTGTGCATAAGTTTGCTTTTGTATCAATTTATTTATCATGTGACATGTGAACCAGGAAAAATTCAGTGTTTTTCTTGGGTCTATTCCACTGGAAGGGTCATAAACCCAACGCTGCAATGCAACTGTCCTGCAGTGTCAAAAAAAAAATCATCAATGATGACAGAACGATGAATTGGGGATTAAATTAAAGTACAAATATATATGTACTTAGTATGTGGAAGAAATATTTTGGTCGATCTGTGACGTTAATTGAAAATAAAGAAATAATTAGACAATAAAGCAGATTTCTTCTGAAAATCATTTTTGTTTAGTTTGATTTGACTTAGTTGCAGAACTGTAGCGTTATAGGTTTATATATTAGTTTATATAATAGTCTTTGACAATATATCCCGTAATACAAAAAAATGTTCAATTTTAGGCGCAAGATTTTCTGCGCACTATTTTGGAGAATTTCTCCATTTTCCAGCATTGGTCAATCAACTACTTTTCACTCCCCAATTCTAGACGTATTCTTTAACCAATCTGTTTATTTTTATCCCCCCTTACCCTTTTTAGTATTCTTTACAAGCGGTAAACTAGCTTGATTTGAATTGTCTGGTGGATTACAAAATTTTTACAAGTTTATTGGCCTGTAAAGACGACTAAAAAGGGTAAGGAGTTGGATAAAATATACAGATTAGTTACAAAATATGTGTAGAAACAGGGAATGAAAGGTAGTTGATTGACTAATGCAAGAAAGTGGAGAATTTCTTCCAAAACGTGAGCAGAAAATCTTGCGCATCTGTGGCGTTATGGTCAAAGACAAATATATATAAAACCATAACGCTACACAGTTCTGCATTTGACTTTGACGATTTTTAGACAAACAGTAAAAACAAACATAACTTCCTGGAAGTTGGATAAACATATCTCCTTGGTCCAGTGATATGAAATATAATAATGTATGAAAAATAAGACTCACTTAGTCGTTAACTAGTACATGTATTGAAAAATACATAATACCTATTTGACATTAGATTTTAAACTTTTTGTCCCAAGGTTCTTGCCTTATGATTAAGATGATCATGTATTTCAAGATTTTTTTAAATCCTTCTTTTAGCTTGAGCATCTTGCAAACAAGCTTAATACAGTGTGATAATGAACGCTGAATCTTTCAATCTAAGAAATCTCATCCCATTTGTCTGGAGTCCCAGTCCCACATAGGGGCAGTGTTGCCTTAGAAAATTCATTCAAACACCACGGTCACTGTTAAGACCCGTGGACCTCTTGGTTTATTTATGAATGTCAGGGTTCTCTTCATTAGATTGAAAAGGTGAGAGTATGTGAGTTTTACTTCAAGACGGCTCATGTCTTTTGTTTTTAACTTTGTCTTTAAAGGTTAATATTCAAAATAATGGGGTACAATCTGACCCATGTATTATCAAAAGGTGAAGATTAAGGTGTGTTCCACTCACCAGAACAGATGCTCGTCCACCATTCTCTGTATAGCTAATGCTGCTGCTCGGTCCTCCTCAGAGAAATCTTTATCCAGGTCAATGTTAATTTTCTGATTTATAAACTGGATACAGAACTCCGAGTCCGCTACCTTTTCTCCGTTATATTCTATCCAGGTCAGTTTTCCTTTAGAACTTCTGTTACTGATACTGTCATGGACATTCTAAAAATCATATGCAATTTTAGAATTGTTATTAATAACCTGAGTCAAAGTTTTAACATTTTTACCGAATAAGAGTCGGGCGCATATCTACCTAGAGCTCACAGCCGTTTTCTAACTTATCCTATACATGTACTAATGCGCGTCGCTTGCAGAGCGAAATTTAGGAATCTCTTTATACGGTTTCTACCTACCAAACCTTATAGCTGGAGAGGTAAGAGGTAGGAATTTTAGATTTTATTCATACATGTATATTGATTGGTACCAAGGCTTTTGTAAAATACCAAGAATGCCAAACCCATTACTGACCTTGATCTGTTTTTCATTCATTTTATATGAATTTTGTTGATCTTAACCTTCGCGATAAACAAATCTATTGCACTTTTGCCATTCTTGCATTTTGTTTCAGCTTAAACTTTCAATCAAGTATGCTATGAAGAAATCCTTTATTTAGGTTTTTAATAATATTACAGAAGACAACACGTTCTTGGTACTCTCGCATTGTTTAATTAGTGAACGCTTATTTGATAAATCGGGATTTTGATCAAATGTTGTTGTTTTTTTTTATAAAAATAAAACTTGTTAATTGACCTACATTGTCACTAGTCATTTGCAAAATTATTTTGTTAAGAAAACATTCTGATTGTACACGCAAGTACTCTTCGTTGTTATTAAGAGATGCTTGAGTTTCTGATTAACAAACTTTATGTAGTCTTTAAGATCAGGTCTGCCAGCAATTCGTAGGTATATTCCATGGGTACCAAATGTGTCCTGTTATATATCGACTATGTATTTTCAATTAACAATTATGGTAAAATCAATATATTGATATGTCGAATCTATATATATCCCGGTGAAGTAATAAAAGATGCCACAGGGTGTAATACAACTGTTTCAACTTTGGATATTATACTAGAAAAAACAACCTAACAACAAAACTTTATGATAAACGTGATGATTTTAACTTTTCTATCATTAATTCCCCTTACTAATGTAGCAATATACACATGAACCTTTATCACCTGTATATTGGGGTTCTGTCTCCCAGGTTTATTTTTAAAATACGCAATAGCATGATCTGACGAATAATTTCTAAAATGAGACAAGTCATTGATAAATAAATTGATGGAACAAAAATATCAACAGTCTCGTTTGAATTCATAAATACGCATGTGTTATGGTCGAAACAATTAACTTGTCAGCAAATACAATCTATCATAAATTCGAATGATATGCTGAAATTATTTACACACCACATATTGTCTACGTATTTTTCCCCGTTTTGTCCATCAGGCGCATATCTACCTAGAGCTCACAGCCGTTTTCTAACTTATCCTATACATGTACTAAACTTTCTTTATACGGTTTCTATGCTGGAGAGGTAAGAGGTAGGAATTTTAGATTTTATTCATACATGTATATTGATTGGTACCAAGGCTTTTGTAAAATACCAAGAATGCCAAACCCATTACTGACCTTGATCTGTTTTTCATTCATTTTATATGAATTTTGTTGATCTTAACCTTCGCGATAAACAAATCTATTGCACTTTTGCCATTCTTGCATTTTGTTTCAGCTTAAACTTTCAATCAAGTATGCTATGAAGAAATCCTTTATTTAGGTTTTTAATAATATTACAGAAGACAACACGTCTTGGTACTCTCGCATTGTTTAATTAGTGAACGCTTATTTGATAAATCGGGATTTTGATAAAATGTTGGGTTTTTTTATAAAAATAAAACTTGTTAATTGACCTACATTGTCACTAGTCATTTGCAAAATTATTTTGTTAAGAAAACATTCTGATTGTACACGCAAGTACTCTTCGTTGTTATTAAGAGATGCTTGAGTTTCTGATTAACAAACTTTATGTAGTCTTTAAGATCAGGTCTGCCAGCAATTCGTAGGTATATTTCATGGGTACCAAATGTGTCCTGTTATATATCGACTATGTATTTTCAATTAACAATTATGGTAAAATCAATATATTGATATGTTTATATATATTAAACTTTGGATATTATACGAAAAAACAACCTAACAACAAAACTTTATGATAAAGGTGATGATTTTAACTTTTCTATCATTAATTCCACTTACTAATCTAGCAATATACACATGAACCTTTATCACCTGTATATTGGGGTTCTGTCTCCCAGGTTCATTTTTAAAATACGCAATAGCATGATCTGACGAATAATTTCTAAAATGAGACAAGTCATTGATAAATAAACTGATGGAACAAAAATATCAACAGTCTCGTTTGAATTCATAAATACGCATGTGTTATGGTCGAAACAATTAACTTGTCAGCAAATACAATCTATCATAAATTCGAATGATATGCTGATTGACGATTTTCATTATACATTGTTATACCATTATTTACACACCACATATTGTCTACGTATATTTCCCCGTTTTGTCGATCATATCAAAGAGCACACGACGAGTGTGACTGGTATACAGGGACGCTTACTCCTCCATGGCATCTGATCCCACCTCTGATGTGTTTTAGATTTCCCCGTTTGCTCTGCTCCCGATTTGTAATGTTTATAAGGACTTTTAAGCTGATTACTGTAAGTTACCTTCATTTCACTCAAGCCTTTTTGTCAATTTGTAATTGATTAATCTACATATAATATGATATATTGTTTTTTGTTTGTTTTGTATATGTACCATAAATGGGACTTTTGCCATCCGCAGATAAGTTTCTAATTTTAGACAAAATGGTGATAAGCTAGGCGCGTAAGCTCCCCTTCCTATTTGGTGATGGACTATCGTATTTGGTGGGTAAACTCTCCTGTAAAAATAGACGGTACAATGTTGAAAATGCTTTACCTTAAACAAATATACACTGATATCGTTAACTTGAGGTAAAGATATGAAACCCGAAATAGTATTTTGTCACAATGACAAATACAAATGACCTTCCTACTCGTGGTCCAATTGTTCAAACTAGTTAGGAATTATTTTACATTTTTTGTAACGCTGTAAATTAGAATCAGAGTATGTCCATCTCAGGGTATGTGGACTATTATCAATACTCACTTGGCTCGCTTCTTCCGCCTCTTAATGACTATAAAGAGAGATATTCCAACAACAGCAGTCAACCCCAGCTCCTTAGAATGAGTTTTCGCAAAATTTCGTATAGAATCCATGATGTCTGAAATGTTTAACAGAAATTCACAAATAACCTAAGTGAACATAGATTTATATATGTAGATCAGGTATTTAAACTTTGATAAGAATATAATTTAGAACATTCAGACATCCAGAACAGATATTTCATCAGTTTAACACTATGGTTAATATTTACAAAAACAGGCTGTTTTATAAAGATAATGAATATAAAAACATTTTATGCACAGATATTCAAATATTAATTAAATGTAATCTTTTCACCTGTATACAAAGTTTATGTAAACTTTTAACACGGTCGGGTTCTTAGAGATAATCAAGTGGCGGATTTAAGGGGAACGCAAAGCTTTCGACCCTCGACTATATCAACTACTATATATATATAAATATATGGAAGTGTTAAACTTGAAAATGAACTCCGTTTGAAACTAAATACATTCATATCGAGCGAAAGCTTGATAAAGTAAATAAATCATGCTTCATAAAGGAAATCAGGGAAAGACCTTTTTCTATTATTATTTTCAGTTTAGTTTAGTGTCCTCACAGAATTTTTGTCTCATGCATACAATGACATTACTGGTGTCTGTAACCTTTTTATACCCCCCGCTTGAAAAGCGGGAGGGTATATAGTAATCGTTAATTCCGTCCGTCTGTACGTCTGTCCGTCCGTCTGTTACGCTTTGGGGTACCCATCTCTTATCCGCAACTCCTCTCATACCACTGAATGAAATTTGATGCAACTTCCACAGAATCTTTATTACATATTGCCATTGTGCACCTCCTATTTTACTTTTTGATCCGACACATATTTTGGGTTTCCCGGCCACAGGAAAACATGGACTTTTTCACCAGTTATAACCATATGGGAGGCGGGGGGTATCATTTAGTGAGCTCATCGCTCACAGTACCTCTAGTTCTATTTACTTTTTGATAATGTTGATATTGAAGAATTTTTAAGGTGTGTATACTTCTTTTTACAGATGACATACTAGAACATATGTCATTTATTGATTTTTATTTGAAAATTCAAATAAGTACAATATAGTTGTGTATTTATTTTAATTTTTCAAATAGAAAAATCAGTAAACGACACCTGTATTTGCTGTACCTCCTGAAGAAGAACAAGGAGATTTTAATGTCATGTACATATGTACTCATAAAGTCAACCATGGCAAGTTATTTTGTAAATTATTAAGCAAGTACACTCCAAATTGTAACATGTATAGATTTTGGGAGATTGCTCATGTCAGTTTCTTTGAAAGTGGGAATAGTTGATTTATAAAATGCATTTCAACAGGTAAATTAGAAGACTCTATGACATTTCTGATATTTGTCATTCCAAATGTTTCATTCATTGTTTTAGTAAAGATGTTTTTACTCCATATGATTATGCCAATTTATCTGAAAATGTGGAGAAATACTATACGAATATATTTATTAATGAATGGAAAATTCTAATACATAATTATAATTCGCCACGGTGTTTATAAAACTTTTAAACTTAAGAAGAATTTTTGTTTGTTAACCTATTGAACTTATGAATATACATGTATTTGGGGTAGTCATAGACTCCCAATTGTTTTTTAGGGGGTGTCTTTTTTTAAGCATAGAAAGAGGTGAACGAATTTGTGATCTGCGTTACTTGGGAGGAGTGAGTGATGAGTTCCATTATTTATTAATTTTAAGGTATAGATATTGATGATTTATGCAAAAATAGAAATACTATTTGTGTTTTAATCTCATAAATAGTCATGATAAATATGTTTATATTGTAAATACTGTGAAATTTTCGTGTCAGTTTTTAAATAATAAATATAACTATTATAATATTTTTATCTTCCAGCACCTGAAAACTCTTGTACATGTGTTTCTTCCAGTATTCATACTTTATAAGCTTGTAACATATGTTTAGAATTTGCAAATTTTATGTTTTTGTATTTATATACCTCAAACGAGGCCTTGAGTGAAATAAAAGTTCCAATATGTACATTATACGAGGGCTGTTAAATAAATATTGTCCTCGGTGCTCAGAAGGGCACAAAAATCCTATGATTTCCTTGACTTGTTTCTTCTTTCTGAAAGGTGTTTTTTCAAGTTTGGAAAAGGTTGAAAGAGCTGGCGAATATTGTTGGTGTGACAAAACATTAACTATCTGTTTATCCCAAAAATTACTTTACTCTTCATGGCGTATGGGTTTAGATGCTGACATGAAGAAATTTATTGTAGTGTGGATTCCTGATTTTGGTTCCATCTTCTCATAAACCTTCCATTTTTTTTCAAAAATTTGCTTTCTAAACTTCTCCAGAAATTAAACTGCCTCCCCGAATAAAAAATTGAGCAACATGACTACTAATATTTAAGATGATGGCAAATGAATTGTTGTTGTGCTTTTGCAATTCTTTGCTCCTCTCAGACCTTGACTGTTTTTGTCAAATACATCTTATTGTAAATTTGTTTTATGGGTTTAAAGCAATGGATTCTAGTTTCACTCTCTGTTTGAATTTTAGACAAACGTGGATAACTTCAGTTTTTCATTTTTTTTAAATAATTGTTTAGATTTTCTTACACGCTGTCGTTTTCACTCATTCTTCAAAACATAGGGTGACCATTGAGTAAGCTTTTTTAACTGTCAAATGTCTCTTTAAAACAATGTAAACTACCCCCAAAATGATGCCTACCTATCAATTTTGCTATGTGTCTTGAAGTCAGTCAAACATAATCAGTGATAATTTGTTGAATTTTGGCAAACTGTACATTGGTTGTTATGAGTTTTTGTCGCCAAGGACGGAACCCATTTTTTATGCTCATTTTATCATTTTTTATTGAAATCCACCTGCACATGTGTCTATAAAACAGACATTGTTTGCTGTAAATTTAACATTCATGTATTTCAGTATATACTTCTTTGGGATTCTTAAAGAGTTTTATTGCAGTTTTACTGAAGCGTTTACTTTCACTCTTGTTTACTGATTCTTTACCATTCATTTTTAATGAAGTGTCTCGAATAGCCCTTGATTCCAGCTTCTCACAATGAAACTATGTGATGAAAAGTGGTCGCATAAACTGTAACCAATTATTCATTAAAGATTCAACCATGAAAGAAAGTCAAGCTTAATGTCATATGATTTCTATATTGTATGTCATAGAGCTCAGGACATTATTTATTGAACAGGGCTAGTATATTACATGTTGTATGACGGATTTACTTTAAGATTGGACAGTTTACAATCATCTTTCCCTCTTTACATTGCAATTGTTAAACACTCAAAATTTACTCAAAAATAAGGAAAAAATTTCCTTCAAAACAATTTATTTTCAATGAATTCGAATTACAATATAAAAACAAGGGAAAAACAGCCCTATAGGATTTTTAGCAAGGGGAATGTTATTGTACAAATATTGTCTATATATAAATTATAAAACACAGAAGCACAACCTCAAAAATGTATTCCTTAGATAAAAAATATTTGATTTTCTTTTTAATTTATCTATCCTGCCACTCTCTTGCATGTCCAAGACCTAGCCACACATGCCTGGAGGTTGTTGTCGAATTCCAAATTGGCAGGACAAGGTCTGACAAAGACACCACTAGGAGCGCATGTAAGGTAACTATGGCAATCTTGGCAGTACTGATGATCCCCGATCCCGAGATTGTAGCAGTCATTCTTAGAACCGCAACCGGCTAAAAAATATTATTTTTTCCTTATTATATCTGCATGTTCTTGATTATTTGACCGATTTCTTGATTGTTCTTGGTTGAATTCTGATTGATCGAATATCTATCAATAATATAGAAATTGCAGAGTGACGTTTATACACTCAAAGAGGGTATGTTTTACGGGGAAAATTCTTACTTGTGAACATTATTCCATTGACGACCTTAGCTCCGGGTAGCGTTGGAATGACTTTGGTTTCTGCAAAAATTGAAAATTAAAATAATTACTGTTAACGTCACAAAGTCAGACATATCATATTTTGGTTAAACTTTAAGAAAATGGATAACTTACGAGTGGATGGTTTTAGTGTTGTTGGCTTTGTGGGAGAGAGAATTGTGACAGAGGACCCCGTGCTTTGACTGGAACCAGCACTGTTCGTGGTGGTCTGGCTATTTGGTGGTGCCTGGGTGGTGGCTGTGGCTGGGTTTTTCCAAACTAAAATTGATCACATAATTTTGTCAGTCGGAACCTTATAGAAAGTGTCGAAGGTTTCATAGTTTTACCTAAACAACATGAAATATATTCTATGTTGGAAAGAAATTAATTGCAGACAAATCTTACACTTAGGTTTCTCGCAGATGAAATTGATTTTGGAATTACAGTCTATATCGTTCAGTTCCGCGTTAGAGAACTCGCCACAGTGTTCCATCTGTAGGTAGTTGTCCGGATTCCCACTCTTCCATGGTCTAAAGAATGTAAAATTAAGATTATCCAGATTCTCAAATGTATTGTTGGTGAATTTTTTGAAGGATGAGTGTTGAAATCAGTAAGATGTACTGATTTAGTATCATGCTTACACAATATTTGTATCCAGAGAGGACCCATCCGTCCAATGGTAATTTTTGTTATCCCGCCTTGGAAGGTTATTTAGACCAATCCAAACTTGTGAAAACGACTTCTGTTTTATTTCTTGAATGAGCCAATCCTGTATTGGAATATAAAGAACTATGTACCGGATAATATTTTTAAGTTGCTGAATAAATATTTCATATGTACGAATGTGTGTAAAGATCAGCAAGAAGACCAAAATCAGGATTCTCAAGAGCAACAAGCTTGAGGTCTTCTTATATGGTGCTGAAGCATGGAAAGTTAATTACAAAAAACCATTTCAAACAAGCTAGATGCCTACCAGACACGTTGCCTTCGAAGAATCTTACGCATCTTCTGACCTAATACCATCTCAAATGAAAAGCTGTACAAAAAGACTAACACCACTCCTCTATCCCAAGTTATAAAGAAAAGAAAATGGAGGTGGGTAGGACATATATGTAGAATGCACTCAAATTCCATCCCAAGGGTTGCATTGAGATGGACACCATCTGGTAAGAGAAAGAGAGAAAGACCAAAAGAGACACGGAAAAGATCTGTAGGGAAAGAGATAAAAGAAAACAACTGGAGTCACTGGACATGAGGACAGATCCAAAGATGGACACAAGACAGGTCATCAAGAATTCTCTAGTGACGGCCTTATGTGCTAACCAGCACGAAGAGGATTAAGTAAATAAGTATGTACGAATGTGGACACGTTATGGATTGATTGATGAAAAGCGCATTGAAGTGGTTAAACTTTTCGTTTGAATAGAGAGTTTGGGTGTTTCTGATCGAACGTCAGTTGGTACA